TTTTTCGCGATTGAAGGGAAATAGGGAAGCGTTTTATTCTCACACCAGCGGTTATGATATAGGCCAGACACATGTCCCTGGAGAATGAGGCAACTGTGGGTGGGGATGAGGAAGAGGATAATTGAGTCGTGGCATTGGCATGTGCATGGGCATGGACATGGGCATCATCGGCTCTAAATCCTCGAATATGGCATATTCGAGGACGAGAATGGAAAGCCAAACTGTGATTTTAATATTTAGCAGAGGCCAATTGAATGGCGGGTAGGAAAAAAAGGGGTGCAAAATGTAAGTCAGGAGCTTTGCAAACGACACCTTGTACCTGTGGTTGAGGTGATTACACTTTCATGAGCCCACTTGTGTCAATACAACCTTTGGCGACATTGGAGCAAACGAGGACACTGAATTGTGTGAAAAAGTGGATGGCCCATATGAAGTAAGGTTGAGAGAAAGAAGGTACAACAAAAAATAGGGGCGACGGCTGATGCCACCACGGTTGAACGGAAAATTGGTCACGTAGATTGCATTCACTTGTCACTTTGATACTTTACGATGGCGGTTATGACATAGGCCAGATGAGAGAGAGGATAATCGAGTCATGGGTTTGAAGCCTGTGGAGAGGAAGATTCCCAGGTACTGGCATGTGCATGGGCATGGACATGGGCATCATCGGCTCTAAATCTTCGAGTATGGCATAATCGAGGACGGGAAATGAAGGCTCTTATGAGATGTAACCACCCTATTTCGTTTAAGGTGATGAACGACTGATGGTTGATTCTTCCCACAAAGGTATGAGCAGAGCTGACGTTCCCATTGAACTTCACACAGCTTTGTCTTCTCAAAAAGTGTTTCTATTCCGTCTGGACTGGAATGCAGTTTCCAACTCGCCGCTTGGTCTTATCAACAACCCCAGCGGGAGTCGAACCGTGACAGTGCAGCATGTGAGCTTGACCCTCAACCACTCGGTTTGACTTCCACTTGGGGTGGTGATAAGACCGACTTTTGCGAAAGCAAGGCTCTGTGAAATTCAATGGAGCGTCAGCTCTACTCAAATGATTGTGTACAAAGGCTGAGAGGGTAGAGCAAAAAAAAGTTTCTTGAAATATCAACAAGGTGGTGAACATTTGTTAGTTAGTCAAGCCAAAATGGTATTGCCGATATATCAACCAATAAGATGTGACCTCAAGTTTAGGAATCGACTCCTTCCGTTGTATGAAAGTGGTTCGATCTTTGTCGTGCTTTCAGCTCGACCCCCGATGAACTCAGCCCATCCAAAGTTATCTGGACTAGTAGGCACAATAATTCTTAGCCTCCTAACGTAGACTTGATACATTCTCAGATGCAGTAGTCAGCATCATCGGGGAGAGTTGCCAGACTTGTTACCAAGCGACAACTCGTCGAATAGACAAGTCAATGACCCTACGCCGGAACTAAACGAAGCTACGATCAAAGGGGACTTCAGACAGGATAGGTTCTGCTAGGTCGTCCTGATCAAGTCACGAAAACTAGGCCCAACCAGAATGATAATGATGTATTCACCCGATTTCGTTTAAGGTGATGAAGGACTGGTAAAAGTAGAAGTTTCCCGTTGAGGGTGTTGATAAGACCGATGCGAGGTCGAAACTGCAGTCCACCCGGGAAAGCAAAGCTACGTAAAATTTCAATGGAACTCATATTATTTGTGGAAAAATTCTACTTCTACCAGTCCTTCATCACCTTAAATGAAATTAGGGGAATACATCTCATATTACTGATTTACTGGTAGGCACGAAAAACAATACTTTATTCGAAGAATGATGATGCCTGGCGCTAGAACTTGCATGTTGAGACTAATTGTAGACGCCATTTCATATTCCTGTTTTTGACGTTAACTCGGCTGACGAGGATGCCTGCATCTACCACTTTTCTCATCTCTTCAATGACCCCCTGTTTCCGCTCGATTTTGATGCTCTTTTCGATGTCGTTTATGTGACTTCCGCTGAGACTGTTGATGCATATTTTTGCTCCTGTTATACTTAAGTTCCTTGTCAGAAAAGCAAAAAGGTCAGTTTCGACATGATGAAACAGTCAGAAGCAAAACTTTTAAAGTAAATGGATAATTGCTGGGGTCACCACCAGCCTCTTTGCTTTCTATTCCTTACCAACCTCCCAGTCGTCACACGAACTGGCCACCATTCGCATCACGCATACTTCAAAGTATTTCGATGAGAGGTTAAATAGATTTAGGCAAACCCCTCTTGGTCATGCGAACAAACCTGATGTGAGTATACTCTTAAACTGTCGAGGCCCTAGTGATTTGGGAATTAATCAAAACAATTATTGAGCTTACTTCCATTTCGAGTGGAATATTTGGGTGAAGAGATTCGATGGTCCTTTCCACCAGAAGACGACGGCGGATTCCTCTTGACCAGCTGTCGATTGGCTTTACTGGAAGATTAATGCTGAAGCTGTTTCCGAGGCTATCTTCTTCGATTCCGGTGTAAAGGTGCGAAGCTTTCGTGCGTCATAGGAGTTGCTTGACAACACTTCATTTATCTGCATTCATCTGCATTAGCTGACAAAAACTATAGGAGTTCATATCGAATGAACCATACTAGGTTTCAGGATATAGCTGGAATTGTAGTTAGCACTAATTCCTGCTGAGATGTTTTGTGACATTTTCCGAATTACGACTTCTTGTTTTTTACGATTTCTGTGGCATGAAAGACGAAAACTATAAATAAATGCATTTGGTCACTGGAAGCTGTGCCGAGGTCTTTAAGGCACAAGCTAACCGCATTACTTGCAATCATGCTGCTCAAGATCTTATTCAACAGAACTCACTAAAGGCGTCATCGAAGCCTAGCATTTCATCATTATCACAAGTACCCTTGGAGCACAGGGCAGATGTGAATACCATGAAAAGCTAGGCATTTTTCCATATCACATTTTTCGTTCTGATTAGACTATCGAGACTATCAGTAATTCATATATATGAGATATGTTTATCCTATTCCGTTGAATGTGATCAAAACGGGTATTTATTTAGCTTTGAAAGTTCTTGTTCATTGCATGGCACAAAATGGTTAAGGTGAACGGTATCTCATCTGAAACCAGCCAATCAGTGGTTCAAATCCCACTGGGGTGCTATAGTGAGACGACGCAGCCAAGACGAAATTGCAATCCAGTCTGAAGATGAAAAACGAAATCTTGAGGTGATTCATTAGGTTGAATTTAATGCTTCTTTTGATGCTTCTAGGATATCTGTCAAAACTGCTTCCTACTTCCGAGAGTTCTCCAACGAAGACTGCATTGAAAAAAAAACGAAAGAGGATGAAGATGACTCGAATCGTGTAAAGGGCACGAACGTGGTCGCAGCAAACAGTCGACAACTTTGGTATCAACAATTTGTTTGTCGTAGATGCCCATTCACTTGGTTCCATTCCCAGACCAGACAGCGTCAGCGGATGATCCCTCGAGGAATAAACCCATACATCGCTAGAGGGACCATAAACGTTTTCTAGATCTAAATGCCTATTAGCAGACTTTCTCGGGACTTTTAATGTCCGTCCCATTCGTAATTAACTTGTTTTTACTTTTTTAACATCATTTTGTCTTATCACTTCTCCCTTACATTTTGAATTTCATTTTATTCATTAAAGTTTGTTGTTTCATCCGAACTGAATACAATTTTGCCAAATGACTTTTATTATTTCACCTTTTTCAGCAATTCCCAATCTCGCTGCCCAATCTATTATTATGTCGTCCATATTTTCGTTTGCTTATAAACTTTTCTTCCAACAACCTGCCCTTCCGGTTATACAATTTTATAAAAACATTTGCTTCACTCTCTAGCCCAAAGCAAGGAAGTGACTTAGTCTTGTCTATTAATACCTTACCTCCCGGAATTTATTATCGTACCTTAAGTGTTTTATTCTTATTCGCGTTAGCATGTGTTTTTAATTTGTGTATGAGAAGAAAAGTTGGGTTTCTAGGAATCGCTTGTTTCATAATTGTTGAGCTTACTTCAATTTCGAGTGAAAGTGTTGCGTGAAGAGACTCGAAGGTCAGTTCCACCGGAAGACGACGGTGGATTCCTCTTGACCAGTTGTCGATTGGTTTTACTGGAACATTCATGCTGACGCTGTTTCCAAGGCAATCTCCTTCGATTCCGGTGAAAAGGTGCTAAGGATTTGTCCGTCATATGAAGAACATCATCAGAGCGAGATATCATCGTCATAACAAAATTCAAGCTAACGAGTCAAGAAAACTCCTCAGCAAATCCCTAAAAAGTGGTATCTACACTCTACATCTGGCCTCTTTGATCAAGTATAAAGTGATATGTTTAGTTACGGTCATACATCAACCTCAAAGCTTGTGAGTGTGTCCGTCTCTGTAGGTGTTCGCATATGCCCGAAACCAGAAGTAATGACTCAACGTAGTTAGGAAAGTAAAAGTAACGTCTGCTCTTGGCCATCAAGGTTTGATGAACACCACCTCCCTCTTTCTACATACATGTCATAACCACCACTCAAATTGCGTAAGGTCGACCTTCGAATATATTCACAAAACACTTTTACTCGAAATGAAAGTAAGCACAACAATTAAAGTTGTGTCCTTTTTAAGTGATCGCCACTTATCAACTCGCAAAACCTGCAAAATGTTTGCACTAATGAAGCTGTGAATTAGCATATGAGGAGTGTAGATAGCCGCAGAGAGGGAACAAAGTAACCATAAATGGAAGACCGTAAGACCTGGGGAAGAGAGTAGCAATAATGGCTCTACCCATTACGAGCGGAAAGGGAATGGATTTTGTCAGAGATTAGGGCCTACCCCTACATTCGTTCACATAAAAAATGGCAACTTCCTTTCATACAGATTGGGGCTAAAAGCTCATATGATGAATGCTAGGCCATCTCGAGCAAACGCAAAGAACAGGAGCTTGCACACCTTCGGACTGAAACGTTTAATTACTAATTAATTAATTAATTAATTATTTAAGCATAATTTTACTGAAATGTGAATTATGTAGCCAAATTATTCGGCGTCTGGTGTAGGCGAAGAAAAGTGTTTGTATGAATTCCATGCCTTGACGAGGCGCCAAAAGTATCCATATTCATGGATCGGCACAACTTTGGCTCAGAGAACTTCAAATGTGTGAAATTGTCCAAATCATCCGAAGTGATTAGGGCATCTTGAGAAACGTAACGAGTTCGTCTTACAAAAGATGAAGGGTTGTCCCGCTTCATTCGAGTCCCGTCTGCAGCCAGAGCCGGTATCGACCTCGGAGCTTGTGGGATCAGAGGGAAAATGTCGCCGTCTTGATCACCTGACCGAAATGTGAGTGTGTATGGTGAACCAAAGTGATTGGAGCGATAGGCCAACTTGGCGAAATGTAGCGAAGTTACGCAAACTTCGACCTGTTGTCAAATAGGCTGATGCGCAGGAAGGGAATTATCATAGACAGCCTATTTTGGACAAATTTGGAAAACGGTTGCTAGCAGAAATTGGGATAATAAGGCTATCAGGATGCATTTTTTTTATTTTATAAGCCGGTTGTCATGACTACAATTAGATCATATATATGAGATGAATTTCGCTCAACATGATAAGGGGACTAGTAATTGAATGCAATAAAAACGATAGGTCTGCTCATCTGATTGTGGGAAAATTCAGCTACCAGTCGTCCCTTTATCATTTGAAGCGAACATGAGTGACTACATCTCATATTCCCGAATGCATTTGTTGCATGGGCTGTAGGGAATGCGTATATCTCGAAATCCTCTGGAAACATTGACTTGAAGAAATAGAATAAAAATAGTTTTGATGAGTATTTTTCGAAACTTTTAGTATTTCTTTAATAATTACTTGGCCTGTTTGCTTAACGCGATGTCTGTAAGTAAAAGTGAGTATCATCCATACTGAGACGATTAGGCCTCACAATGCTATTCAATTGCACTTTTCCTTGTCTCTCAAATGGTTATCTGATCTAAACTCGACTAAAGATTCGACCCCACCGATGTCCTATCAGCACCCCCAGTGGGATTCGATACTAGATCATGGTGACAAGTTACCCTACAATTATCCTGTAACATTTTCAAGAGGGTCACGGAGAAGATGCGAAATAAAAGACAAGCCAGGCCTATTCTAAATCACATTTTTAGTTGGCTAGTCAATGCGGTAAATATGTAGGTGCCGTGACAATCCGCGACGTTACTTATACTTGGAAGTAGTAGGTTTCGAAATGTAAGAATTATTAAATACTCATAATGAATATAAGTAGTGTCATTGATTGCAACGAGAAAAACATGCTTTATGAGATGTTTCGTAATCCTACTGGTGAACGAAAAACATATGTGCTTCATTGAAAATCTTACAATTAAATGTGATTTGCCGTATCTGTCCTGTGATCCACTGGTATTATTGGTTGTGTGGTGGTATGAAAAATTCCAGAGTCAATGTGTATACGACCAATGCTTTGTAAGGTCTTACTCAAAAATTACCGATCGTTTCAAAAAATCTGCATACCGAATGTTAAGTAAACTTAACTATGTAAAATTAAAGGAAATTTCATTGCTGACGATACTACTTTCAGTGTATTTCTCTTCCAATTCCTCAATTATATTTGACTCATTTTGATGGAAGAAAGGGTACAATTGAGGACAAGCCAGCCTAAGGCATTAATGTCAAACTTCAGGAGAATACAATTAGTTGTAGTTGTTCATCAAGTATGCACTTCATTATCTTTATGTAGGTAATATTATAAATTTATATTTATGCCGTTATTTATATTAACAAAAAACAAAATTCCCATATGCATAAGATTCATTCTTGCACTGTGGAAGAGGCGACTATCATGATGTGTCCACACAACATAAAGTATGCAAGCTGAAGAATAACAATCCCACGATTGGTTCGGGTGTGCAAAGCATGGATTAAGCGATACGTGCATTTGAATCAAAATGGGCCCTTGAAGTCCCTCTCATGGTACTGGACAGTGGCTGGGCTCCGGTTGGCCATGGAATCAGGCGGTATCCGGTGCGTATCTGGGGCGATGTGTAGATCTGTAAGCATCTGTTACTGCGCATCTGAGAGTCAAGCAGGTCTGCAGTGGTGCCTAGAGACGCTGCCAAAGACGCATCTTCCTCGTGCTACAATCCAAACTCCGCTGTTGCCCCCTTCGCATTTGCCGTTCGGACGATGTCCATTTGACGAGTTGACGACCACCTCTTCTCGTCCCAATCGTCTTCCAACCTCGACTGGCCGGCCTCAGAAACACCAAATAGTTGACACGGTTGCCGGGCAGAGGCGATCTCGCGGGTCATCGTCGATGTGGCGGGCCGGCCGTGAGGACAGTGCAACAACAGGTTGAGCAAACTGGAGAGATCGGACAGATTGTGCGTCTTCGGATCGAGTGAAGGTTGAAGTTGGCCGTTTTCGCTGCTCTCTCCTCGAGCCGGTGTTTCGTGTGGCAGTTGGAATCGAACCTGTACCAACTTGGTCTGTCTGCATTTCGCATCATTCTCCTTCATGGCGGGAAAGTTTCCGCCTCGCGGACTCTCAGGATCCGCACAATTCTCCTCTGCCTCCGCCTGCCTCTCCTCCTGCCTCTCCTCAGCCACAGGCAGACGCGTTGACGACCGGCCCTCGGCAACGCCGAATTGGGCCAGTTGACAAGGGGGGGAGACAAAGCCTGTCTGTCGAGGCTGAAGATGAACCGAGTCGAGGGCTCGAATGTTCGACGTCGGCGACCGGAGTCGAGATTGAGGCGATGGCAGCTGTTTCGTTACTGTCGGCGTGAAAAGCACCGACTGCTGTAGCTCAACCTCCGGATCAAGTCTGGTTGCCATGTGACTGGGACAGGCTTGCGGCATGACGCATTTGGGAGAAACCGATTCGGATGCATTCAAAGAATGAGTAGCCTGGAGATTGCGGCATCATAAAAAACGAAATAATGTTGAAATATTACATATATTTGATTTATGCTGGTCTCGATACTCCACATATTATCAAAAAATGAGTAATTTAGTCGATGATTATAGCAACTATAATCACAGCACATAGTGTGATGTGGGAAAATGACATCTATCCTGTTTTACAAGGGCACTAAAAAAAATATGACGTAGTGGTCAGTAGGTCGAGATTATACGCTGCACTTTCATGGCTCGAGTCCCGCTGGTGGTGTTGGTAAGACCTGGGCGAGGTGAAAACTGCAGTCCGCACTTGATGAGAATACCTTTTTGAGAAAGTGAGGCGATGTGAAATTAAATGGAAACGACATGTCTACTCATATGTTTGTGGAAAAAGACAAAGTAACATTCCTTCCACACCTTAAGCGAAATAGCGTGACCTCTGATACTTATCTTATTTTACGAAAGTTCACCATCAGATCATATTCTCCTTAACCGAACCGAGCCGACTAAATCTTTTATCTAAGATCTACTGAAATCCTTATATATTCTCTGAAAATAACTTCCAGAGAGGAAAATGCAAGATAAGAGTAGGCTGCGTTATAGCAACTTGGGTTCGAGTCCCGCTGGGGTGCTGGTGAAACCAGTTTAGACGAGGTCGAAAAGGCAGTCAGGTCTAGTCTGAATAAGAATATCTTTTTGGATATAAGACTATGCAAAACATGAGACCTACGCATGTGATTGTGAGAAAAATAGACTTGCGTTTCTTCATAAACATCTACGAATTAGGATAAGCACACGTCCGTATCCTTATCAATGAACAAAACCACCTATTTTACATTCAACGGAAACAC